ACACACACACACACACACACACACACACACACACACACACACACACACGGGTTGTAGGTTGAGGGGTTCCTCAGATACTCTGTGCAATAGTTGCAGAGCCACTCCTCACCCTCTTCTGCCTTATCTAACACCGAGTTGTGTAAATGATGCGTCTCATTGGTCCTCCGGGGCATCCTTCACCCGGGGACACGGCGTACGCCTGTCACATTATTTACCATAAGTTGTCTACCCACAGAAACGGACGTCATTGCCATGGACCGTTGTGCACCAGCGGTTTCCCTTTGTGGGATGGGCAAAGATTTCGACACAGCGGAGGACGGAGATGAGGAGCGCAGAGATAGTATCAGTGTTTTGGGCTGCCAGGGCCTTCCTGTGGCTGTGATGGTAGTGAAGGGACACAGAGATAGGAGCCAGAGAGGAGGAGGAGGAGGAGGGGGTGGGGTGACGAGCCAGACCCTTAAAAAAATGTATTAATTTTTTTCATGGTCCTGTATAACATTTCAATAGTAAAAACAAACCATTTGCTTTTTTCCCCTGAAGAAATTCAGATGTATGTTTATGTTTTACACATATTCAAAACTTGCAAAACACGACTGATAAGTGGGACCGAATGAAGTGGTATGGGAAAAGATTTTTACACAATAGGACATGTGTCAATAACCTCCTCGTAGAGGCTGACCTCAGTTCAGCACTTGAAGGCTTTATTAGACACATAAGGGCAGCAGAAAAATTATATCGGCATCATTTTAAGATCGTATCTCGTGGACACAGATTATACAAGTAACCCAACTTTGGTGCCCTGATTTTGCTTGTTTCCCACTAAAACGATTTCAAAAGAGCAGTTGTGTAAATATATGCCCCCTGGGAGGGGGGGGATGTGTAGAACTATCTTCATGTATTTGGATTTTAATCAGAAAGGACAGTGAAAGTGTGATGGGGGCTTCATGAAGCCTGCTGCGTCCTCAGAGGCATATGAAGATTTCTTGTGTGACCATGTCTGTTGAAATGTCCCACAGCGTTGTGTGGGGCAATCTGTGGTCCCAGGACTGCAACATCTCCACAGAGTGAAGAAAGACCGTATTTCACCTAATCCCTATCGCGTTACTCAACAGCTGCAGACCATACGAACCGCACAGCCCCACTGAAGTAGCTCCAATCTCAAAGCTGCTGCTGATCAAAGGTGTGTGTGTGCTTTCTGGAAGGCTTGGCTGGACTTTTGTCTCCAGAGATCAACAACACGCACGCACACACAAAGCAGTATGATCTGTAGTCCAAATATGGCCAGGATGAGTGTTTCACCACTTGTTGCAGTACTTCCGCTCGCTGCGAAGCGCTGCAGTCAGAGATGCTGTTTCTTAGCTTTAGAAAGACTCTAAGGGCTGAGATCTATTTTTTTACTGGTCTCACTAAGACAATTAATAAGAGAAGGTGCTTTTATGACGCGAAGGCTAATTTTCTACTTTATACCATTTGTTTTTATTTGATATCATTCACAGCTTCCAACAGAGGCCCTCTAACTGTTGAAAAGCTCGCATGTAACACTTCAAGGGAAAGTGGAAGCTGTCGCCATCTTTGGTTAAAACAAACACAACCTAATGAGGACTCGCAGCTCAAATGCATGGCATGAATAAGTGACTTGGAATAAAGCAGAACCCCTGCTGTTTAAAGCATCGCCACAGACTTCTTTACATTTACAGTAGCATCAAGTGACATCTACTGAAGTCAGACTTCTTGCACTAATGGCGGGCTGCTGCTGCTGCATCACCAGAGGAACAAACCGTGATGGTGCCATCATGTGTAGCCTTTCAGTCATTACCGGCTGACACAGCACAAAGTGCTCTTATCTCTGTGTGCCAATGGATATTTTGTCCTCTATTGCAGATTAAAACTATCAGGAGTCCTGATGAAACATGTGGATGCACTAATGAAATCTGTTGTGATAAGATAATAGGATAAGATAATATGGTGGATTACTGATTTCTTCTGGACTATCAACCATTAGAGTGAGTGCACATTTAAATTATATCATAAATAAGTTATGATGGACTGTCTCTCGTTTTTTTTTTCACCTGAAAGCAGCTCTGTAGCCGTGCCGCTGTCTCACACATGCCTCTTCTCTATGATTTATGGCTCCACCATGCGGCAGGCAGCTCCATGCAGGCATTCTGCAGGAGACAGAGAGAGAGCACTCATAAACAGACATCTCACTCCGCTGCTGATTTTGTATGCTACTTTTACTGAGCAACAAGTTTCCTCCCGGTAAGACTTTTATCCGAGTGATTCATTAATTAACCCTGTAATAAATGAATTCCTAACAGAAGTGTTTAAAACAACTACTGATTCTAATAATTTCATGCTTTTGCTTAAAAAAATAAAATTAAAAAATTCATTTGTTAATAAAACTAATCCTTCTCCAGTGTGGCTAAATCTGTTGCTGAGTCATTGCCTCATTCCTTATACACGATCTTGGATTGAGTGGAGCGGGCGGAGGGAGGGGGGCTGTCGCTCTGGCGATGTTTGCCGATTCTTCTCGAAGTGAGACTCGCCGCTGGCGGAGCTACTGCCCTTTAAACAGACACGGCTCTCCGCAGTTTTCCACCCGGTCTTTGTCCTTCGCTCCACTTCCTGCCGACGCCTGCCCCTTTAAGGTGATGCCGGGCACAGTTGTGCGTTATTGTTGAATTATTCTGTGTCATGTCGGCAGGGATAAACTTGGACTAAACAACACCGTTACACAGCAACCGACGGTGGGAGTGAAGGAGCAAGCGGAGCATCAACCCCTCCTCCGGCGGCATCATCATATGCTCACGCGGCGGAGGGACGTTGGCTGTGTTTAGGGACTAACGGAGAGTCCGGTGTCCTTGCCTGTGTCAAAGGCAAACGATTGTGTTCATCCGAGCCTTGCGGTACTTCTCCGGGACAGACATGTCTGTTTGTGTGGCAGACAGAGCGGAGGAGACGGTGTGAACGCGGTGAAACTCATCCGCTGTCCTCCTCTCTTAAGCCCGCGATGTTTGGGATGTTTCAGAGAGACGACGGGTGGCAGGTTTTTGGCTCACAGTTAGCGTCGCTTTAAAGGGTGAGTAACAGTGTGCGCTTTGTTTTGAGGCCGCACAGGGGTGTGTAACACTGGCTGTGTGTGCTGGTCCAGAGTGCCGGGGCAGGTGTCTGCTCAGTCCGCCCGGCCCAGCTGCTTTAACGCCCCTTCATCACGCTGCTGTTCTCTCCCTCGTTGCTTCGTTGCTCTTCTGTCCGGCGTACAGCCCAGCCAGCCCCCTCCCTCTTTGTTCACCCCCCTCCCCCCCGTGTCCTTTCCCCTCCTCGCGCGAAAGCTCTTATATAACCCTGTGGGATTCCTTTTTTTCTTAGCAACACTTCCTGGCCCTGTGCGAGGAAAACACGATGACGTTGACCCACGGAGGGGCACCATGTGCACCTGCAGAGGAGACTGCTGCTGAGGGGGAGCACTCAGGGCTGCTAGTGGGGTCCCTGAGAACACCCACCGCTTTTCCATTTAGCTCAGGGTAAACAACAACATGTCAGGCTGTGACTGGCATCACAAAGCCTGTGAAATGTGTTATAGCCAGTAGCTGACAGTTTCTACACACTAATTAGAGGCTTATGTTGACATTTATTATGCTATGGATTATAATAGTAATGGATATATATATTATACTTCCCTAAAGCTCAATGTGATGCTATTAAAATTGGTGGTTTTGTCTAAAAATCCCACACTGAGACATACTTGACTTCGTGATAATCAGGCTTTGTTTTGAAAGAATCTCGTTCTTTTCCTGTACAGGTGTTTGCACACACACACACACACACACACACACACACACACACACACACACACACACACACACAGAGCTCTGATTGTATCAGGTTAAACGGAGCGTTTAGGTTTTGTTTGACGATGTCACATAAATA